CAACTGTAGAGGGTTTGATCACAATATAACGCTGAGGGGTTACAAGATGATTACCAAGATAAGGAACAGGAATAAAAAACATATTTCTGCTACATTTTCTAACTTGTGCTTTTGTGGGAACCTTTTGTTTTAGAGTATAATAGTGTATGCTAAAACCTATTAAATTGCAGTTAAAGTATTAATAGCTGTGTGGCTCTAGGGATGCAATGTTGTTCAGTCAGCCAAGACTTTGGTCCAAACTGAAATGACTCTATTGGATCAGCTATTGGATGGATTACCTTGGAATTCTTTACAGACCCTCATGGTTTTCAGATGATCAACCCTACTTTTCCCAATACTTTGGTTTATGACCAAATGCGTGCAAAACAAATGACTTCCCCCATCAGCCTCAGCTGTCCTTTGTGGTTAGTGCTTATTGGCAAATGAACACGGTACACATTACACCAGCTAAACATCAGCATGTTAGCATACTCACATTAGCATGTAGCTCACAGCAGTGCTGTGTCTACGTAGAGCCTTACAAAGCCTCTAGCATGGCTAAAGACTCTCTTTTTGTACATCTGACACATTTTCCTGGTACTTTGTTCCTACAGTTACTTCAATTATAATACAGTATTTGTAGTGTAGCTTGACAGACTGTTAAGATGAGGGGGAAGAAATGCATATATCAAAATTAAGGCACAATCTACAGTGAGCAAAATAATCTGAAACATCAGTCATGCTTTAACTGAAAAAAAACATGACTGCATTTAATACAGCTCTAACTCTCTCTTTTCCATAGGTTTCTACATGACGACGATATCAAACGCTACACAGACGGAAGTAGCTGAGCTGCTCACACCTGAGTTACCAGCTTCAGATTTATGTGTACGCTTCTGGTGAGTCCAGTGCTGCCGTCACACACATTTATGTGCTGTTGTCTGATGCAGATTTTTATTGTATTTACTGTATTTGTTCAGGTACTGGTTACCTGCAGGGTATACTGACATCCTTTCCGTGCATGTGCTGCGGAGCGGGGATGAGGGTGATGCACTTTGGCAACGATCAGAAGTGCCCTCGTCAGGCTGGGAGGTGGCAGAGGTCACTGTGTCCTCTCCTGCAAAATTCCGCGTACGATCCCTTTCCTCATACTCTCTGCCAACCAAACTGTCTCCTTTCACAGTGAGTCAATAAACTGCATACTTGGTTGCTTCCTAAGAAATGGTTTCTTTCCTTCACCAGGTGTTTTTTAGGGCAGTCCATATGCAAGACACTAACTCTACAGTGAAATTAGATGATATTTCTGTGAGGGATGGGGTTTGCGGTCTTCCAGGCACCTGTGACTTTGAGTCCGGACAGTGCACCTGGGTCAACATCCCTAAAGAAGATGGACATAACTGGGTGCTGTCCAGTGGAGGTTTCCAGGGTCCGCCGACAGACCACACCACTCAGACCCCACAGGGTACGACCTTAGATATACCTCACTATAATAAGATAAACATCAATGTGCAACTGGAGTAGAAATCTAAGTTTTACCCAGAGATCCCACTAATAGTGGAGCATGTAGCCATTATATAATACTAAGCCCCAGTAAAAAGATATTTTAAGAAAACACAATCCAACAAGTCTTTAAGTCAATAAGTCAGTAAGTCCTTATATTTTATGTAACAAAAGGAGTAAAAGTTGTGAATGTGTTGGTAATTCATTAAACTCTGGATTTCCCGGTCTAAACCCTTAAAGCTGCAATAATCATTATTTTATATGTGAAAGAGGTCACTTTTGGGATACTGTCTATAAGTCTGCAGTTTCTCTTATCTCTACAGTAGCATTTTAGCGCCTTTTAGCTCATTGTTTTGGTTTCACTACATTACTGCTTTGGCTCACTCTTTCCTGCTCTTAGCAGCCTAATTTTCCAGCAATTTGTCGAGTGACGAGAAACACACTACAAATGCTAATAAGCAATTGTTTGCTAACACATTCACCAACTTTATAAGGTAATAATAATCACCACAATCAAATCTATGCTGTGTTTATAATAAAATAGCTATAAAATGCTAGATTCAGCTGACAGCCCCTTTAAGGTTGCCAACAACTGGAGGGGTATTAGGTATTATTTAAATGAATATGTTTAAAACTCTGGGACACTATTCACACATTAAGACACATAAAAAACTAACAAAAGTTAAAAAAAAAATTAAAAAAAAAGAATTACTTCAAAAACTTTTAAACCAAATAACCTCCAAATTACCCATCTACATGCCTTAATTCTTAACATTTAACAACTTCAGTTTCTTTGTGATAAATATGGGCCACTGCTGTTGAACTGACATAGCCTGTTACTAAGTGTTACTTCTCTTTTTATCCCTGACTTACGTCCTGTTGCTGACAGTACCTCCTCCCTGACCCATTAACAAATTCCTTATCTCTGTTTGAAAGCTTTAGAATCAATAAAAATCATCTTTCTCTGACTAACATTGATCATGCTGCACTCAGTTTGATGCCAAAATTAGCGTCACTGATAAGCCTTCGCAACTGATAGTTTTTTATTATTGTTTATTTTATATTTGTATTCTTACTTTTGCTTTCAGGTTGGTTCTTGTTGAGCTCATCACTGCACCAAAACCACAGCAGTCTCACACAGGTAATGTCAGAATGGATCTACCTGAGAGACACCACCTCCTGTCTCACCGTATGGTACTATATCGGCAGCAGGTCAGCAAAAGAAAATTACAAATCACTACCCTTTTCGCACCATACAGTATGTGACAATGCCAAGGATGCACTTTATCCTGTTTATCCTGTTTCCTCATTGACTTCCTCAGGAAGTGTGCACAAATGTCCTTTAGACATGAATCACCTGCCCTGCTTTGTGCAAGACTCAAAATATTCTGTGGCAGAGTTCACTCTTTACACAGATATGTTGTATGAAAAAGACCTAAGATCAATTTTAAACAAAAAAAATAAAAGTTGCAACCCCTTGAAAACATACAAATAGGATCATTGTAGAATATAAAATAATATATTTGTGTCAACATTTCTTTTGTATGATTAAAAAAATCACTAAAATAAATTATTTATTTGGAGTTACAAGTGCTTTTTGGTTAAACATGACATGACAAGATGACAAAACAAAAACATGACATTTGGCTGTTGTTGGTCAGCGACTCTGGGACATTGAAGATGTACCTGCGTTCAGGGCCGATGGAGGAAGACCTGATGTTCAACAGTAACAACAGTGGACGCAGCTGGATCAGGTTCTCTCAGTCTGTAGAGAGGAACAAACCTTTCCAGGTAACCCAAAACAGGCTCAGTGGTAGAAATAATTATAATAATAAATATAATAATAATATATGATGAATAGATAATGGCTCTTTTATCAATAATATTCACTGATTCCCTCAACGACCTTATGCTCAGCTGTTGATTGAAGCGGAAACTAACAACAAAGGATTTATCGCTATTGACGACATCAGTGTCACACCAGGCCTGTGTCGAGGTACTGGTATTGTTTTTCATTTCTATACTTCATTACTGAAACGTGTCTGAAGCCAATTAAATAAGAAATAAAATTTTTTTTTTTCTTTTTATCATAGTAAATGAAACAAGTTTGGGATTTGTGGGTTGTTCGTTTGAAAATGGCACATGTGGTTGGGAGGACATCAGTGTTGGCCAGTTTCAGTGGATGACAGGAAGGAATGCTTCTGAGAACATTGGACCCTCTGTGGACCACACAGTGGGCACTGAACTGGGTGAGGCCATAGACTAACCCCTCTTATACTGCCTTTATTTACCATGGGACAGGTTGTCTGCATCTGGACTGTGTTTCAGTTATACAGAGCACACTTGCAGAACAGACTAAGATAGTCTAGTCTAGGCTAGTCTTGACGCAACTGACACACTTTTACAACACAGATGGCGACAAAAGTCAAATCAACACAAAATGCAAACATAATCTGTGTACAGTATAAAGTTCTGGACTCCTTCCATTAATAAAATAATCAAATTACTCAACATACCAAAGAGGGTGAAAAAAGTATACTCTTGCTGCTTAGCAAGAGTATACTTTTTTCACCTTTTAGCCATTTTTTATCATAAATGTCTGGTCATTAAAAATAAGTTTTGGGTATTATAATGAGACGTCTGTTAAAAGGGTAAAATAAGCCGAATATGGAAGTGAGATTTCTGTTGTGTTTCCCCTTTTACAATATGTATGGTACCAGTGCTGCCTGTGGGTAGTGTTAGCCACAGTTTCTACATCCCCCTGCTTGTTTTGTTCTGGCTTGGGCTTCCTTGATTTTTAATGCTTATGCTAAACATTAAATCTACATTTATGTGATTTATTATTGAATTAGGTCCACTGCCATCACACCTTAAAAATACAATTCAAGTTTTAATTTAGCACTACCATGTTCCTATATTGCCTAAACCTCAAAAAGAGGGAATATCAACAAATCATGTTACCTCCCTGCCAAAAATAATCAGCATAAAAGACTAGATTAATCATACTAAGCTCCAGTACAACTAAAAATTAAGAAGGCTTATTATGTTCAAGCTGCATAACAGTTCTCCACCATCGTCATAAAACCTCAACTTGATATTTCCTACTGACATGTTTGCATGGCTGACTGTGTATAAAAAGAATGAAGAGTAATGCATTGGGTTCTGCTGGGGTTCTTATCTGATTTTTCCAGGTTGGTATCTGGCAGTGAATTCTGACCGAGGAGATCAAAACAGCCCTGCTGCCGTGCAGAGTCCCACCATGAAACAGGCCAGTGCCACCTGCACACTACAATTCTACTACAACATGTTTGGAGAGGGTATGTTTTGCATATGCACCTGTTTCATGCATCCATTAAAATGACATGTTCTTGTTCTCTTTGTATGTTAGTCTTTCTGTAAGCAGTCTTTACATTGTTACAGACACAGAAAAGCTGATTGTGGTGTTAAAGGAGGGCTCCAGGACCACCACACTGTGGTGGCTATCTGGTAGCCATGGAGATTTGTGGCATCACGGTGAGGTAATGGTTGGTCGAATGCTTCAGGACTTCACCATCCTGTTTGAAGCCTCCAGGACCTTCACCAAGCCTGGGCACATTGCCATTGATGACATAGATTTCACCAACTGCACCCTGCCTAGTAGGTTCCCTGCTCTACATGCACATGTACATGAAAAATGCATATACATGAAAAATATTTGGTTTTCGTCTCAGAGCCCCAGCCCCTGTGTCCAGAGAATATGTTTACGTGCAACAACAGTGTATGTGTGGAACACAACAGAGTGTGTGACTTCAGCGATGACTGTGGGGACTGGTCTGATGAGAACAACTGTGGTGAGATATCACAAACAGTTAAATATTAGAAATACTGAATTCACTTTAAATTCAAATAGTCGCTGCACACTATACAGAATCCCTGTGTACTTCCCCTTGTACATTGTTTCATAATTTCCTTTAAAAGGGTTCAATGTTAGATCAATTTTGTTATTGGGTAAGAGAAATAGACTCTATACATACAACTGTAAGCATTAATAAGTTTAAGGATATTTCCTGGTAACACTTTATTGGGATAGTCTGCCTATAGATATTTGCATTTGTAACATTTCAACAGCTTATTTGTTGAGATTCAGCAACCGTTTTCTGATATAACACCACTGTGGTTAAGTTTTAGTTAGGTTAAGACATCTTGGTTAGTGTATGTTCATGAATCGCCACATATACTCTACAGATAATCTGTTAAACATCTACAGACCAAGTGAAATCATTTAAATGTTAAACTATCTGTAGGTGGACTATCCAAATAAAGTGTTACCATTTCCCTCTTACCTGATGATAATAATAACAATGTAGAGTTACAAGGTGTTGTGGAGCGCTGCAGCTTTGAACAAGGCCTGTGTTCCTGGGCGGAAAGTGACGTGGACACACATGGAGCTGAGTGGACACATCATAAAGGACAGGAAGCCTGGCCCAATCATGGCCCTCCCAGGGATCACACCCAAAACTCTGATGCAGGTAGTAGATTCTCTGAGTCAAGATAATTCTTATGACTCCTGACTCTGAATCATTTTACTCGCTAGATGGTTGATGTCCTCTTATTAAGTTTCTTCTCTAATCAATAATGCTAAACTTTTTATTGTATATGTGTATAATGTCATTATACAGGTCACTATGTGATACCAGGGACTCACCTAACTGAGAAGGGCCAGACATCAGAGATGCTCTCCAAAACTTTACTACCCAGCTCCAACTGCACTGTGAGTATATGGAGATGGTTATAGCACATTTAAGATATAAATAAGTGTGTACATGGGTGTCTTAAAATTATAATATAGTAACAAGACTTAGAGTCTACAGCCATGAGACTTATTTCGATAAAAACAAGCGATGAATTCTTGTTTTCAAAGCACATCATCACCTTCTTTTCTGTACATCACTGAGCTGTGATGACTCTTCCTGTGTCTGTGTAGGTAAAATTCTTCTTCTTCAGCCTGGATGATGCGGCAGCCAGACTGACAGCCCAGTCCAGGACACTACGGTCTGGTACTGATGACTCTGTGTTATGGCTCAGTGAAAACTCACAGAGTTACAGCTGGCGGAGGGCAGAGGTCACATTCTCCTCCTCAGACAATAGCAAGGTCGGTGAGGACACAGACAGTTTAATTAAATGACAGATGCGAGCATCAGTCAACCAGTGCATTCATTATGAAAATGTTCTCAGGTTGTTAACTCTATCAAAGATATCAAAGTTTTTTTTAACATGAATAGCAACATTTAGTGTATTATTATTACCCAAATCTACAGTATTAGTATTTTACAGTGTATTTTAGCATCTTTCGGCTAATTGTTTTGGTTTTACAGCCCGTAACTTTACTGTTTTGGTTCAAACTCACAGCTCTCATCAGCCTTGTTTCTAGCTGCAGATGATTTCACCTGCTGTATGCTACCTGCTCAGCACCAAACAACAAATACATTAGCGACTAGCTGCCTAACAGAGAGGATGCCTAATGTTTTCCTCAGGAGTTAGTGACCAAACCCAAGCTACAAGGGGAGTGAAAAAATCCCTATTACAAATTTGGCCATGACTTTACTTTGACACTTTCTTTATGATGAGTTTTATCACTGATGTTTCATAATACCGGAAGTAAACGGAGGGAACAAGGTCAGAATGTCAGAATGTTTTTTTTCTTCTCAGATTGTCTTCAGATATGAGCAAGGTGAAGGTCACAGAGGGCTGGTTGCACTGGACGACATCTCTTTCTCCAGGGAGTGTGTATTTGACCCTGACAACAACAAACTGCCTGAGACATCACCCACCTCTGTCCCACCTACATCTTCAAACACACCCACGTCTCCAGCTACACCCTCAACCTCGACTGCACCAACCCACCCTTGTCCGGTAAACTACCTGACGCAACAAGCTCATGGCTACAAAATTAATCCATAAAACAATTCTGTAAACTTGTTGAAAATAGTCTATAGCTACTGTCCTCTTTCTTTGGTGATGCAGGATAATGAGTTTTTCTGTTGGCGGTCATCTGGAGAAGTGTGTATCCCAACAACTTTACAATGTGATTATCATCCAGACTGCCCCCAAGGAGAGGACGAGGATGGCTGTGGTGAGCTGCGAGTTGCATTCATTCTATCTATCTAAAGCAGGCTGTAAAGACCTACAGTACAAATGCTTCTACCATTGTGTCAGAAGTGTATGTTAGAATAAAGTAAAAATTTTCTATGTTGATTTATGAGTGGACTATTATGAAAGTCATAAAGGCATGAAATTAGTCATGTGGTCAGTGATTGAGAAACACTAGTCATTCTGCCAGATAGAATAAATAGAAAATAATTAAGCAGGTCAACAAGTGTGATTTTATGTAATTTTATTACATATAACCTCCAGGTCAAGGACACCCAAATTTGAGAGCTTTTTTTGTCTTAAGGAATCCCCTGATTATTCTTAGGTTTCAAGATTATAAAGTCTTCATAGTCAATCAATGATCAAACTGGGATTACTATAAATTACAATCAATAAAAAGTAACATGTACTTTTTGACCTTTGTTTTGCCTTTATTTGACACAGTTAACTGAAGTGAGATAGGAAAGGGTGGAGAGGGAGTTATGGTATCGCGATTAGCTGCATGCTGCTGTTTTGCCAAAAAAACAGAGCTAAAACCAGTTGAGGCTCTGCACTCTTTGTCACATAGAGACTGGAAAGATAAAACGGCAAGAGAGCTGTTTGTAGTCAAAGCTAGCTCATAGGATAACCACAACTGGATCAAATTGTTTTAAAGTAGCATACAAGATATCTCTATAGTCTAGCACAGACATGAAGGTCGAGTGCACAGTGGTTTTCCATTTCATTTGTACAAATATTGTTTAATTACTGTGTACATTTTCCGTTTATATTATAGTTATATTTGAAGTTCCTATGTCGATTTTCTCTGCTGCACATGATGTTACAAAAGCAGATGACTGTAAAACATTTGTCAGAAACATGATTCATGAACTAATATTCACCTCCCTTTTTTCCCAGCAGTATTACTCACGCCTTGCCCTAAATTTACAGGTCCGTGCACATTTGAGAGTAACCAGTGCCAATGGGCTGACACCAGTCATGGACAGAGCAGTTGGCAGAGACAGAAAGCCGGTAGCGATAGCGAGCCGTCTACTGATCACACTACAGGCACAGGTGACTTTAGTGGCTTATTAACTGATTGAATAGTTTATTGACTTTATAGACCCACAGCACAAAAAAATAATTCATAACATGTTAAATGACATGGCACTGAAATCGTCATAACAGTACTCTGAACGTTTAAGAGTTGTTGATTTAGGATTTCCTTCGTTCTCAGGCCACTACATGAGAGTGAATTTCAGCCAGGGGTCCACACAGGTTGAGGCCAGACTCCAGAGTCCCCCACTCCCCCCTTCGTCCCTCTACTGCCAGATTCTGTAAGTCATAACCATGATATTTTATGGCCCCATTTCTCTTATTATCATCCAGAATCTCTGTAGAATATTTGTTTTTATACAGAGTTGAATATTTATCGTATGAATTGCTCAATGCTCCCCGCCGCCTCTGCCTTTAGACCACGCAACTCTCTTCCCAATCCAACACTGTCCCCTTCTTCCTTCCTTCTTTCCTAAACGCAGGTTTCACTTCCACATCAGTGCAGAGAGTGCTGGGTCACTCAGAGTGCTTATGCAGCAGGCTGAAGGGAGTGAAGCAATCCTGTGGTCACGCAGTCACAACACTGTCTCCCATTGGACCCAAGAGCATCTGCCTCTAGGCCTGCACCAGCAGCATTATAAGGTGTAGGCTCGAGACATTTGAAAGAAAACAACTAAAGAAACTATATAATTTTTCACTGTCAAGGCAGCTTGTGGTGGTTTTTGTTCTTTTAATATTTAATATATCTGTATATTCACAATGGATTGATATCTAATATGTATGCATAGGCCTTTGTACAATATATTTTGGAACGTGTAAAATTAGAAAATCCAAGTAAAATATATTGCTATAAACAGTAATTTTAGTATACTGTTATATGCGGTATATCTGAATGCGATTAAAAACGTTATGTACAGTCCTGTTATTCTATGAGTATTTAATATATTGCTTAATTTGTATGGTAATACACTTAATTGCCAGTGTATTAGGTACATTTATCTAAAACTAACGCAGTCCAATGAAACACACCTGTAATAAATCTGCTTTTAATGTTCAGTTTTTCTTCTAACTGTTTCTGAGAGGTGTTCTGCATCTACAGTTGTGCTACGTTTTTTCTAATATTTTTTCCACTCATTTATATCAATAAGAATAGACTAAAAGTCAATAAAGTTGAAACATCACCTCTCTAAAATATTTTCACCAAAAACTGAACACTATAACTTTCATGAAGGTTTGATTTATTGCAGGACTGATGTATTAGACAGCATTAGTTTTAGCCCTTTGTACCTAATAAACTGGCAGTTGAGTTTATATCCCCATTATATATTACTACACAATAAAATAGGTAAAGCAAGTACTTAACAAAACAAAAAAGGAGTATAGGATGTGAATATCAGTAGTGTAAGGTGTGCATGAGTGTGAGAGTGGTGTGTGATTGTTGGAAACAACCAAAACCAAAATATGTCAATGTAGAGGATGTTTGAAGTGCAGTAAGTGCAATGCAGTGGTTTCTATCTATTTACTGTTGAGGACACTAATCCTTCAAAATCATAAATGTAATCATTTCTATTCTTAGGTTTGGTTCAGCAGCATGAATCAAGTCAATCAGACTGCTGGAGATCACATTGTTGCTGTGGATGATATCTCTTTTCTGAACTGTGAAAAATCCTACCAACCACCTGGTAAATAAGATCACATCTTACATTGGAATTTATAGGAAGGGAGTAATAGTGGTGTGCTTTATAAACTGTCTACTTTATAAAAACCCTGTTTGGGAGTAAAGTTGACAAATTTTTAAATGTTCTTTCCCTCCTCAGCTCTGTCTTCCTGTAGCTGTTCTTTTGAAGAAGGTCTGTGTGTTTGGGTGAAGGGGGCTGAAGATGAGTTGTACTGGCTCAGCAGGTCTGGTCCCACTGAAACCCCCAACACCGGGCCTGCAGGAGACCACACTACCAGCAAAGGTCACATTTATTTTAGACTATCATTAGACAAGCAGACTGCCAAAACATTATACAAATAACTAAATGGTAGTGTTTTGCACTTGGATTCCATTTAGTACTGAAAGTATTATTTAGTGTGTTGAGACATTTAAAGCAAGCGTTTGTAGCTTTGGTGACAAGTGACCATTACTGGAAAATGACACATTACCACAAAGAGAGAGGAGTCATACATGTCAGTCACAGCCATACTGGTCTTATATTTGTAAATGAGAATTGTTTCTCAAGCGATTTATCTGCTTAAATAAAGGTTCCAAAAAAACTGCTCATACCAGAGGGTCACTTAGTCATACTGGTCATAACAGACCAAGTGAGGCGTCAACACAAAAGTGTACTGAATTGAACATTTTATTTTTTTTATTTTAAGCCATAAAACATTTTAAAGGTTGATTGTATTAATCAGAATCAAGCTAACCCTAACCCAGAAGCAAGTTTTCGCATACAAGGAATTTGCCTTGGTACATTGGCACACTAATGAAATTGAAGTTACTTTTATAAAGTTGCATTTTTCAGTCTTAGTCTTCAGTAAATTGGATATTGGATATTTAAATTTGCATTGATCATGTTGTAACAACTACAAAACAAAACCAACATGGAACTAATACCGATTGTCCTTCATATCCTTTGCCAGTATGAACGTAAAAACTCTGCAGAAACTCTGAAAAAGTTGCAAGTACACATTTCTTTGTGTTAAGGGGTCAACATTCAGAAATTTTTAAAACTACTCTCTATTTTGTTTCACAGGGAAGTACCTTTACATCAAGAGTTCCCCACCAAGTGTAAAAGGAAACAAGGCCCAACTGAAGTCTCCGCTGCTGCCACCTGCTGACAAAAATGGATACTGTGTCACATTTTGGCACCACATGTTCGGAGCTACGGTGGGCTCCTTGAGGATGCTTCTGCAAACATCAGATCCGTTGAAAAAAATAATGGTAAAATATTCATGAAATTAGTTTAATTTATTTTTTTACCAAAAAAGAGAAGGCCACATTTTCTTTATAAATTATTGTGTTTGAGTCTGGACACATTACTTCCCTTTACAACAATGTGAGAAAAACGGCCTTGAGGTTGATTGAGAAATATTTCTGACTGTTACCACTGAGTTTTCTCTCTGTTATTATACTTTCACATAGTTGTGAAATGCCGATTGCAAAATACCATGAACGCATTGTATACTGAGTGCAAGCTGCACAGTTTCAGTGCATACCACGGTGTTGCAAAAACTTCCTCACATCCTCATTGCGACAAGTGAATCAGCCTCCTGTCTTTCCTGTAGGTGTGGCAAAAATCAGGAAACCAAGGGGATGAGTGGCAGCTGGTGCGGATCCACGTGACCTTGCAGAAAGTCCACCAAGTGATTCTCGAGGCTACAGTTGGAGGAGAGGCGGGAGACATAGCCATCGATGACATCTCCCTCATCAGTGGACCGTGTCATACCTCTGGTAAAGTGATTCAGTGTGTAATCATTTTCCAAGTAAAAGATGAATAGAATAACTGTAGAAAGAGTGTCTCTTGCCACATTTTCAAAAGCTTTCCCGGTTTTCAGTGAATCTCAACCACATCTTCCTTCTTTACTTGCTCTAATAGACAATAATTTCAATAAAAGAGTCCATCTCCCTCCATCAAATGTTGGGCAATATTGAGTGTATTCATACACGTAGTCCTACATTTAAAGGATGATTCTGGCTGTATTGTATGTTTTTCTTATTGTCAGCAATCCCATTAATCCATTATGAGGAACATTTGTGGGTTTTGGTCTTCTCTTGGCATTTGTTAAAAAAAGTAGAATAATATGAGCCTTTTTGAAGGATTATTAGTGGATGTCTTGACAGTGCAGAACTCAACAGTGCAGTCATAGACCTTTTTAATCACTTATTATTATTCATCAAGGACTTAAGTGGTCCTCAAAGAAAACAAAGTAACAAAAGTAAAAGAGAACATTTTGTAGATAACCTCCTGTTAAGTCCATGTTTAACATCCCTTCTGATTTAGACTCTCATACACAGCATTTTAGCAATATTGAGTGCTAAACTCTGAGTTACCTTTTTTATGCTTTGCAAAATGTACACATACTTCTTTATAATGTTTTCCAAAACATCCTCTTGCAGATATGTGTGACTTTGAGGAGGGTAGCTGTGACTGGAAGCAGCACACCACAGATGACTTCGACTGGGTCAGACAGTCGGGCTCCACCCTCAACCCCAACACTGGGCCAGACAGTGACCACACCACCAACACACCCACGGGCCATTACTACTTCCTGTCCTCCTCTGCTGCTGACCGTGCAGGCCAGACAGCTGAAATGTCTTCACCGCTGTACCCTGCAGGTGAGACAGTCACCAGTGTGTTCTCCACTGTTGTATCAGTATTTCCTTTAAGATCTGCAAGCTCAGAAGTACAAGGAAGCATAGAATGGAAATACTCAATAAGAGTAAAAGTACCTCAAATTAAAGTAAAGTTGTTGAGTAATTAGACCACTGATTTTCTCTACAATAAAATACAAATATCTGGACATGGAGGCAGTCAAAGGTCCACAGGGGAAAGGCACTGCTGTGTTGCAGTAACCCTTTAATATGTCAGTCATGTAATCATATTTGATCTGTTTTTCCTTCCTTTGGCTCTTCAGGCAGAGGAGCTTGTGTGCAGCTGTGGTACCACATGTACGGCAGAGGAATGGGGATGCTGAACGTTTACCAGCAGAGTGAAGAAGGGAAGCAAACTCTGATTTTCTCTCAGGCAGGAGACCAGGGCCAGCTGTGGAGGTTTGCTCAGGCTTCACTTCTGCCTTGGACTCAGCCTTACAGGGTGAGTCACGACGATCTGCCCAACACCCTCTGGCAATGCAGTCATTTTGGGGAAAAGAGTGGATATATGGGCAGTTGTGGGAGGTTACTAAATACATGCAGTACTAATTTTAAGCTACCTTTACTTTACATGAGTCTTTCCAGTTTATGCTACTTTATATTTTAACTTCCAGCAGCCCCTGTGGACAAAAGCAGTAGTGTTTCCACCACCTTGTTTTATTGATTTTAAAGGTAGACACCAGTATTAATTTTGGACTGTTTCACCTCCAAATACAAACTCCTTGTTGTATGTTTAAGTAATATTTTGAATGCAGGACTTTTACTTATAACAGTATTTTCACACTACGGTGTTGTTAATTTCAGTAAAGGATCTGTGTACTTCCACCAGTGCAAGCTAACTCAAAATATCGTGGACATTTTCCTCCAAATGGTTTTAAGCCACAAAATTTAGTGAAATCATGTCAACAACATTAGGAACTTTTAAGCCCATCTTCCATGTCCCTAACTAGACTCTCCAAACCTCTGCACATAAAATTAAACTATGAATCTTCAGATATTACAGTGAGAGTATGAGAACTGCTTTTTGTGATTTGTATATGAATCTATGACTTTAAAGATATTTAACAGCTCATTTGGATGCACTGACACTAACAGCCCCTTCTATTAATTTAAGAAATAAGTCCAATTCGATTTCCATTCATTCTTTCATTCTTTTCGATAATAACAGATTTAATTGATTTGAGCATATAACTGTGTCAAAATAAGACTAAGATGTACAAAACTGATTTTAAGCTATATTTATATTTACAATTGGAGGTTTTCCATGGTTATACTTTTTGTGTTTCAGATCGTGGTGGAAGGTGTGAAGGCTGGGCCCACAGAGGAGGGAGACATGGCTTTTGATGATGTTCAGCTGACAGACGCTCAGTGTCCTCCTCCTGGACATTGTGATTTTGAGATTAACATGTGCAGCTGGAGCAACCTGGGAGGAGAAGTTGACCAGGAGGACTGGCTTCGTGGGAGAGCAGTCTCCCCAAATCCCAACACTGGACCCAGTGTTGATCACACCACCAACTCAACACATGGTAACCATTATTTTAGGTTTGACCATAATGGATGTGACTCCGAAACTTAATGCCACTGATTCCATTGTTCATCATGGCTGCATTTAAAGCTTTATGAGGTAATGAAGAGTGATGCACTGTGCTCCTCTCAGGACCTGCGTGTGTCTTTGGAGGGCCAACCAGAGGGAGTGGGTGGGATTTCGGGTGGGAATGTAGCTGTCTCTTGCTAGTTTCTCCACTGCTGCCTACCTAAGCTTTAAACCTGCAATAATTTTTTTTGTCCACTTAGGGCCAGCGAAACAAGCTGTAAACACAACATGGACATATCTTTTAAGTTGATATGGCGAGCATGTTAAGTTGGATTTTTTTTTTTGTTCTCCACCAACTCCTGAGTGAAATATTCAGCTCTTTAGCTGCTAAAACTTCCACTATGTTCACCAGCTCTCTGCTGTTTGATGCTCAGCAAGTAGTGTACAGTTTTGTTCCAGAGAACAGGATGAAAGTCCCCCTGCCCAGATCTGTGTCTTATGATAGATGCAGTTAAAACCACCACCACAGAGTCTGTCTAGATTGGTAGCTGGTCAGACAAGTGCAAGATTGTTGTTTTAGTGCAGCACACCAGCTGTACATGTTTGTTTGAAGCGATGTTGAGTATATCGAGTTATGAAATGAACATAAGAGTTATTTCTCTCATTGTCAGAGTGATCTTGCCATGTTTCCACCAGGTTACTATCTGTATGTGGACAGCTCTGTGGGTGAGTGGGGAGACACATCCTTCCTGATCAGTGATGTCTTCCAGCCGTCCACCAGAGGTCACTGTCTGACATTCTGGTACCACATGTATGGCGACCACGTTGGGACTCTGAGGGTTTACATAAATGACAGGTAACTAACTGTTAATGTCTGAGGAGTAACAACATTACACATGAACTGTCCTCTGACAACATTCAATTTCAATTTTGTGTCTTGTCTCATAGAAAAATGCATTCTGGTGGTTATGAAGAAGGGACTCTGAAGTGGATTGAGTCGGGAAACAAGGGAGACAAGTGGCAGGAGGCCAGAGTGCCTATTAAACATAAAGAAGCATTCTGGGTAATAGGAGCTTACGATGGATTTGATCAGAATAAGCTTGAAGTTAACATCCAGGAGGTTTTGGATAAAACTTAAAGGTCCATTTAAGAGGCTATATTGGCAGAAATGTAATATAACATTCATATATATATCCTATAGTATAAGTATGTAAGTATATAATCACCTGAAAATAAGAATCATTGTGTTTTTGTTACTTTGGAATAAGACGTTTATATCTACTTCTATCTTTTATACTACTCTACCACATGAACCAATCTTAGTTAGCTAGCAGCCTACATACACGATCCTGTAGTTTGTAGCATAATATAAAGCAATATTTTTATTCACAGGGCATCCCATTGGTTATACCATTCATCAGGGAGTCGCCCTGTTTTCAGGTTTAAGACCCACAAAATGTCTATACACCTGTAATCAATTTAGTGTTCAGGATATATAGAGACAGAGTGATCATTTTTAACACATTAACCAAAAAACAACTGTGTTTACTCTTCTTAATTTTACTCTGCTGAATTTGACCTCTTTTTTTTTGTCACAGTTTGTGTTTGTGTATCAGAGGGGGATGAATACAGGTGGGGACGTTGCTCTGGATGATATCGCCGTCCTCCCTGGCAGCTGCTACTCAGAGCCACCCATTGACCCTCCTGGTGATAATAATGGTAACCTCGGCCCTTCCTTGGCTACCTCAACTAAGCAGACGGTTATTCTTTTAGCTGTGAGAAAGAACTGGGTTTTAGTCTTCCAGAAATCATTAACCCCTGTCTAGATATTAATGTAAACAACTACTTGTAGAAAGTATTTGTTAAGGCTATGGGTTTAAATACACATTTTATCAGTAAGTTTCTCTATTTTAACAACATTTTCTATAAATATTTTGTATGCATTATTGGACAATAACTTTAGTCTATTTCTATATTTGAAAGGCTCAGTAATTTCCTCAAACATCTGAACACTGTAGTTTTAAACAAACATTACGCAGAGAGGAATAAATAGTGCACTTGTTAAGAACTATTTTCCTCCATTAATATATGCATTAGTTATTTACGGCAGCAGAACGTAAGTGTATGTCAGATTGTGTATTGTCAGACTTATAATAATAATCTATATAAAGCACTTAAAGCACTCTAAAAGCCACGTTGCTTCATAACAAATAAAAGGTTTTAAAACAAAATTTCAACCACAATCATATAAGCAAGAAAAAAGAGAGGAAATTAAAAACAGTTCAAAGAAAAATATATCTCTTAAAAACTGATAAAAGTAAAAGGACGTAAAGAGATCACTGACCTGATTTCCTTGATTGTGTGATTCTAATAGTTATTGGACAATCATATAACTTAATGGCACAGAACGATAAGATATATCAGGATTTAAATACACTTGTTAGTGGAATAAATGTATTCTTTGTTTTGGTCTTGGTTATATAGAACATTATCAGTCGTATCTTTTAATAAATTATAGTTTTGGAACCCTATCAGATATTTTTTCCTACAAACTGTAAAATGTTATAAAGGAGTTGATGTCAAATGTTGTGCTCTCATCGTGTTTCTCTGTGTTTGCAGACATGTCCGTAGGTCTGGCTGTCGGTCTGACTCTGCTGGCTGGAGTCATCATCTCCATCTTCCTCTTTGTGCTGAACATGAAGCGTAGTACAATGTACACAGTTGTTTAAATACAGAAATAATTGACACAATGCACATAAGAACACTGAAGAATGCTGATGTTGACGTTTCTGCTTGTGTGTCTCAGGAATCAGCCGACAATTTTCAGTAAAGACACAATTAACCAGGACTCTGCGCTCGACCTCTTTGACTGCAAAATAGATGTAAGTAAACGGGATTTGGTTACAAAACATCTTGTCCATCCTCCACAGAGTTCCAGTGTTAAAAAAAATATGTGTTTTCTTCCAGGGAACACAACAAGGAACTGAGTCTGAATTTTCCTTCTTCAACAATATGTATGATCCATCGCCACATGCAACTGATAGCACCGTGTCTTCATCCGATGCTTGATGAACTACAGTGAAATAAATAAACGATAACCAGTTTGTAAATGATGCCTGTGTTCTTAGAGATATTTGTTGTCCATTAAAAACTGTTATTTAGAAAATGAAATATTGATGTTAGTGTGGCAGTTTGAAAATGGATCAAAGTCGTGAGCCTTTAGTTGTAATAATGACGACTGGATTAATAATTATTTCTTACCTGGAAATACTGACAGGCAGAGCAACAAACCCTGCTGAACTTTGAAAGTGTAAAAGCCATTTTTATGAAATGTAATTTAACAAACACCCTTTTGTAACTTGTTTTTTGTTGCTGTTGACCCGGCAGAACCAGTTCTCCTGTTGAACTAAACCTAAATAGTTATTTTAAGAAGCTGTATATTGTATACTGTCTGCTGAGCATAGAGAGCTGAAATTACAACTCTGTTTGTTTACCATGTGTATATTTACAGGTTTAGTGATAAAAATTATTTAATTTGTTCACAGAAAATTAGATTATCACTGAAATACAAACATGTAAAGATGTGCAGATAAAGCTTCAAATCCTCAATTATTTTTCATTATTGAATTATTCTTTCTCCCGTCACAAGGGAAGTATGTATAAAACTTATTAAAAAAATGTCTAATTATAATACAGTGCTGGTTAGTTTAAACTATAGCATGTATTGTATTTTATGATCTTCATAGCTCCAAGCGTCATGTTTCTTAAAATAAAAGTCTAATCTTAATTTGTAGAGGGACGAGGAATTGAGGCTGAAAAACAATTGTAGTGGAGTACAAATATAGTATTATATATAGTTAGTGTAATGAAAAGGTAATACTGAAGTAAAGTATGTGACCTCAGATGTGAACAGTGCTTCTGGTTTGATAATGCTTATGAAGGGATGTATATCTTCAACCTTCTCATAGACCAAACACTGCAGACTTGTTTTTCTAACTCGCATAATGTAAATAGAAAGATTTTCGTACTCTTTCAGGGGGAATCAGTTGTGATGTAAATTACTAGTTGAAATAAATCTGTGAATAATATGTGTACGGGAATGGTCTGCTCTCTTTCAGGACTTTTCTTTAACTAACTCTTCCAAACTTATCTTAGAAAACATATGTAAGTTTTGCTGATACAAACTGTACATTTTGTAATACCCATTTAGAAAACATTATTCTCTTGTTGTGGCATTTATTAATACAGTTACACATTTTGGAAAGACTTAATATATAATATTGTTAATTAAAAAACAAAACTTAAGTCCAAATTATCCAATGTTAAATGATGTCTAATTGGTTTCTTCTTATTCTTCCTATTGTTATATGAATATATATACACTAGTGCTCTTTCTCAAAATAAGAAAACAGTAATAATATTTATGTTACAGGCATAACGTCTTTGTAAACTGTAAAATGTGCTCACTACATATTATTATGTTCAATAAATAACATTAGTATAAAAACAAAGTAAAACTGACATCACATAAAGAAAGAGTTCATTCCACCACTTCCTGCAGTGGGAGTGGACTAAACCATGTGCACCGTTCGGAGGGGGGGCTGGGTGTGTCCGAAAGCCTCAACTATTGTTTTAGATACAAGAAAATACTTTGTCGGGCTATTTATTAATTAACCAATAGAACGACATAACTTACTAATGCTAAAAAAAAAAAAAAACATTTCAAAACTGTCGATAAAAAGAAACTTTCCACATTTTTTTTGAGGACCCTCCCCACATTTGGCGCCCTGGTAGATTCGTGCCAAGTCTCCCCTCAGTACAACGCCCATGTTATCGTCTTCCTATTTGTTTTACTTGCATTAAACTAAAGAAACAATCCCACATTTCTATCTAAACGTTTGCCTCTTTCAATCCGCCACCTACACATTCCCAAACATTCCCACACAGGCAGAAAACAGGAAAACACGTCGCTTTAAACGCATTTAACGGCTGACGCAGCCGCGCGGGACGCTTGACGCTCAACGGCCGTATCGAACGAACCAATCACGTCGCGCGTCACCGAACACAGAGCGCTCGTGCTCCCCCCGGAAGTGCGCGAGAGAGGGAAGACCGCTCGTGAAGAACAATGGGAGTAGAAGTTGAGACCTTACGACCTGGAGACGGTAAGAGTTTATTGTGTTTATTGTTTTATTTTTGTACTACTCAAGTGATTCGCTAAATGTAATATGTAATCTGTTTTTAAATAATTCTATATATATATATGTTCGTGTTTAACCGACGTCTGTCTCCGTACAGGAAAGACGTTTCCGAAGAAAGGCTCCACTGTTACCGTGCACTACACTGGTAAGACGTGTTTCACGGCTGTCTTATCAAAGGTTGTTTAATTCCTCCACTTTCGCTCAAAGCATTTAAACAATACCCGCCTCGACGGATAAACATTTTAAGTGAAATTGTGTAGTTTCGCCTATAAACACCGTCGTTTTAATGCAGAGAGGATCGACGCCTCTCTCTTCGTGTCTATGCGGTAATGTGAAACTGTACCGTCGGGATGTGACGGGGTGTTTCGGTTTAACTGGTGACCGTGTTAACGGGTGACTTTCTCACATTTTAAGATACGTTACGAGAGGTTAATACGTCTTCTGAACACAATTGAACTTACATAAATGGTTAGATACTTAGATATTAAAGACAGATGAAAAATTATTAAACTATAAAGTCCTTTTTAGGAGAACGCCTACGTGAAAGTCACCAGTTAACACGGTCACCGGTTAAACCGAAACACGGGGCTAAACGGAAAACCCGTCTCTTTCCACAGATAGAGATAGAAAATATACTTAATAGCAGCCTTAATATCTACCGATTGAGCCGCCGTTTCCCGTTTGTACCCCGCAGTGTTGAGACAATTCGCCATGTTAGTGGTTATCTCTTTATTTTCAGTCTTTGTGCTAAGCTACATTAGGCTAACCTGCTCTCTGGCTGTGGTTTCATATTGAATGTGGATCATATTCAACTTTATTGTGTATGTAGGGTTTTATATAATATAGATTTCTGTTATATTCTTTGTTTATATGTTTTTATAAAATCATAATAATTTACTGTTTTAGTATATTTGCTGCTTGCACTACATTTCCCCTGTGCTGCTGTGAATTTCTCCTGCAGGGATCAATAAAAGGAACATCTTAAAACCATTTTACTGCCTGATTATGAGCACTGGCTGATGTGTTTAACACTCAGTCACATTGTGTTCAAATTATTATAAAAACACAAGATCAGTCTTAGCATTTGTGGAGATATAGTGAAGTCACAGAGTGCAAATAACATTTTTTATTGTTATTTTGTTGTTGTTGTTGCTCAGGCACGCTGACCAATGGAAAACAGTTCGACTCCTCCAGGGACCGGGGGCCCTTCAAATTCAAAATCGGAGCCGGTCAAGTAATTCGTGGTTGGGACGAGGGTGTTGCTAAGGTACGGAGAGGAACTTTGGAAAGGCACTTGAGAGTTTACACCCAACATGAGCTTATTGATGTTGGGGTTTTACGATTCAGCCGGTAAATAGTGTAATATGTCAAAATATTCCTGCACTATTTAAATGTTTTTTAGCTCCTAATGTGCAAGACAGTTAAAGTAATAATAAATACCTGCACCACCTGCAAGGCCATCGTGTTTCTGGACATCATCAGCTGTGGACTGTCGGTACTAAACAGAGCGCTGACTCTTTAATTAATCAGTATTCAGCACAGAAGTCAGATCATTGTTTCATCTCTTGTTTTTGCTCTCTTGACAGCAGCCTGATGTCTGCAGACAGCTGGCTGGCTTAGCATTAGCTGCCCTACACTGAAGCACTGTTGTGACTCCTAACAGCTGATGGGGTTATCCCTTACAGTACTGTTTAAAAAATAACCCTATAGCGCACACCAGTACTGCAATAACTGGATTGTCACACATTTTACGCATTGTGCATAAACATTTTAATTGATTTATTCAGATTATATTGATGTGCCACCCTGGATCTATTGTGAAACTAGTTGTATAATGTCTGAGGTCATGGTTATCTCAGCTTGGCCTTACAGACTTAATTTGTAGCAGAAAGCAAATGTTATAAACTGGAGTTGGAGGTGTTAACAGGCAGGGAGATTTAACAAATGCTGCCATTCATTTGCATTTTGAGGAATAGAGGATTCTGTGTGTTTTTGGTGATTGAACATTAGGATATCTCTGTTGTGCATTTGTTCCATTTTATGTAACTCGCTCTTCTCCTCCTCCACAGATGAGCGTCGGTCAGGTGGCCAGGTTGACCTGCTCACCGGACTTTGCGTACGGCAGTGAAGGACACCCACCGATCATCCCCAAAAACGCCACTCTCATCTTTGAAGTGGAGCTGCTGCATTGCTGAGTGTTTTTAGGTTCAGAGTTTCATTCCACCCACATCTCTGACACAAATAACTGCTTAATTAAAGGTGCTGTCGGTAGCATTTATAAACATGAATAAATAGTTGTTGAAAGAAGTCTCATATCTTCGTGTAATTTGAGATAAACGACAAACAAATGAAGCCATTTTAATGCCAGTGGTATTGTTGGTGCTAAGATGACACTCAGATCCCAAAAAATAAATAGTATGACATTTAGGGAAACCCTGTATGCTAATTGTTTTCAAGGATATATGTGGCCTCCGTTTTTACATTTGTCTGATGAATCTTTAACTTATTCTACAGCTGTTAGATAGCACATCAGATATATAATGGGATAAGAGCAACAACAGAAGGAACATTAGTGCTGTTCTTTCTTTTTTTTTACGTGACACAATCTAATTGAATGACAACCAAATCTGAACCAGCGGCTCTAAATCTGCAAACATCTTTATTTGTTTATAAATGTTTATTTCAGTGTCTCTAATGCAGCGTTGTTCTAATTATTAATGACAAAAAAAAAATGCACATGAAACACCTTTTTAATGAAGAGCTTATTTGTGTTTTCCTTATCCCTTCAGTAGACGCATTGAGTTGAAAGTTTTGACGCAATGTAAGGCAACACTTTATATATTTGGAAACAATACAATGGTTTAATTGGTGATTTCATTTCGTTCCTCCACCAGTCCCCTTATACTATACTCTTGGGTCTTTTTGTCATAGTTGAGGCCTCAAGTGTCCTTTGGTTTTTTTGGCATCGGAAACATTTGTTAATGTTTTATTTCTTCATTGTGCCATTCTTTAGAAATTGTCATTAAAAAGAAAGTATACAACATTTCTGCTTCACTCATTATTTGAGATGATTTAGATGTATGAACGGTGGTTGTGAGTGATTGATGCATCCGAACCAACACTGGCTGTGTGTCCTCTGATCCTTCAGGCCGTTCCCTTACTGCCTTGGAGGGCCTCAGTGATGTGTTCATGTACACTATATTGTTGTCGAACTGGATTCAGCTCTGTGGGGTTTAGGTTTAGTCTGAAGTTAAAATGATAATTTTATAATTCATGGATTAATCTGCCTTTTATTTTCAAGGATTACATAATTTCTTTCTTTAGTACTATTATTTAGTATGTTTATAGTGTATTAATACTTAGGGATAAAAAAAAAACTAAAAAGGCCTTCACAATGCCGGATGTGTTTGTTTTCCAAACCTCAAAATCATTAAAAATACATTGAAATGATAAATAATTAAAAGAAAAAGCAGCGAATCCTCACATTTGAGAAGATTTTTGTGTAATTAATCACTTTATACACTGTTGGTAGTTTAATCTACAACAAAGCACCATATTTTATAAACCCCTAATATGTTGTATATGTAAAATCTCGATTTCAGCAACGTAGCTGAACAAAATACAAATTACAATACTCTCATCCTACTGATTAACACTGATTAGTAAAACATAGGAAATAAAATAAACAGATTTTTTAAATTACAGGTATTTTCTGTCTTATTACTAAATGTTTTACTATGTTTTAAAATGACCCTAGAATCACATTGGACACAAAACACTGAAAACAGCTCATTTTCTACTCTGTATTAACTCATGCGGCTCATTAGGATCACATCTCACCATCATCATCCTTAATTGTTCTGACTGACCAACCTCATCAGTCCTCCCTGTACTCTGGATATAAATATAGGTCAATGATGTTCTTATAAAGGCTTAAGATGTCTGTTTCATGGGTTTATTGTGGTTGTGGCCACCTGGTGGGGAACAGGTGGAAGTACATTAAGGACATGAACCCTGCTGCCTTCAGTTGCTCCTCGTTATCTTCAGTTTAGCAGCACTTTCAGATTATACAATCTACAATCTTATCATACAGTTAATGATTCAGATGGAGAATTACTATGGTGAAAGGATGACTGCACATTAAACATTAATCAACACATTTATCTGACAGCTTTGGGTGCTTTACAAAGCTAAAGTAAAGCTTCTAAAATATGTTTTGTTATATATTAAAATACCCACAAAAATATACACAAGTACAGCTGAAATGATTAGTTGATTAACTGATCATACAGAATTAATTAGCAACTATTTTAAGAATCATTAAAGTCATTTTTCAAGCAAAATTGTTTCATGGTTACAGCTTCACAGATTAGCATCATTTCCTTGTAATTATTTCAGTATTTGTTATAAATAATTACTAGATTTGATTTGGTTGGATAAAACAAACATTGTGAAGGTGTCTATTAGGGCTCTGGGTAATTATGGCAGGAATTTCTTATCATTTCTAGAATTTTTACAAACCAAATCATCAGATTAATTAATTATTATTATTAATTAGATTAATAGAGAAAACAATCAGCCAATAATCATTAGCTACAGTCCTATACAAACTACTTTAAAAATAGCTCCACCTTAACCAATTAGATAGTAAAATCCTGTTTTTGAGAAACAATAATCTAATATTAAAACAATATAATATCAATAACTAATAAAAGCCACAGGAGCCATTCTGCATTGAGTACTTGAACAGTTAATACATTTTCCTGATTATACTTGAACCATAATTTTGCTCAAGTACCATTTTCAAGGCAGGACATGTAACAGTATTTCCACAGTGTGATATTAGTACTTTTACTTGAGTAAAGGATCTGAATACCTCCTCCACCACTGCATTTGGGCTCATAATGCTGATAATTACGACAGCACTTGAAGGCAGCGTTTCCGCGGGTACCGGATCACCAGCAGCGGATCAGTCCAGAGAGACACTGCGCTGACGCACAGATGATCTGCGGACTGAAAGTTTAACAACGAACAACCAACATGACTGTAAGCGTTAGGAAAGTCCACAGAAATGGTTAAAACTTTTTAACTTGACAAGAACCAACAGTGAGTTGTTGGTTTTCTCACAGGCGCAAAACTCACATTGCGCCAATTCACGAGTTTCAGTGTCTGAAGATGCGCCACGAACTGAGAGGAAGGATGTCGATGAGCCTGATAAAGACAGTTAATCTCATCACAGGACTGGTCATTGTTTTCCAGTTTCAACTCACCTTCATGAAGCTCAAATCAGTTTATGGTAAGTCATAAAAAATTATCTTAATCCGCAAATAACGGAGCGCATTTTATGTCTAAGTTAGGTTGAAGTTGGTAAAAGTGGAATATTTATATTGTACATTGTAGGAGAAAAACAGTATTTACACCTAATGTTTTTATTTCATCATTTAACTGCTGAAGTTATTTAATGTTATAACTCTATACAGCCGACCTAACATTAACATAAACTCCTGTGTTTAGTTACTGCGTCATTTTATGTTCGTGGATGCTTCAGTTTCTTTTAATTATCATCACTTTTCATACATTATGAATCACTGGTTTAAAAGATATAAGGTTTGTTTTATGCCACAACTAATATCTTTTAATTGAATATGGCAATTACAGAAAATGTGTTCTTTAATATACAAAATACAAAATATATTAGTAACATTATTAAATTTTTTTGTTCTTTTTTTTCTTCTAAATCTCTATTTTTACCTCAAATATCAGCGTAAATAAATAATACATTTTAGTTATGTATGTACCTGTGTTTATGTGTGTTTCCACCTTCGGCCACCAGGTGGGGGAGTCCTTACTGTGTAAAGGTCACTGACAGACATTTAAGGTGTAATCAGACTCAGGTGTGTTACTGAAGCAGCCGTATTGTGGAACATTTGGTTTATTTTAAGTGAAAAGGAAACTGTGGACGATGCTGCAACTGTAAGTGTTGAGCTGTATTTAACTTTATGATAAATGTCACATTATACAGTATAGAAGTAGTCACTACAGTTACAATAAAACTGCTCTCTCTTCCTAACAATCAGTGGTGTAGTGATGCTTGGAGAGGTGGCTATACACTTAATTTATGTCCCAATTTCTTTTTAAGGGGCCCATCCAGCCCAGTGTTACAAACAGGGACATATAGTCTTGCATATTTAGTTCACCTAAAATGGGCCAGTTGTATATTTGCACATTGTTACTTAATGCTGCTTGACTCTAGGGAGTATCGGTCATTATGAAATTAACATTAGCCACAGAAGAGGTGCAGATTTAGCATCGATACTGGCCCACAAACAGGTGAGACAACTACATAATAATGCATTTTGAGAATTCATTACTCCCTCTGGCCTTTGCCATCCTAGGATCATACAATTCAGCTACTTTAACTACTGAATGATGCACATGAGAGGGGTATATCCAAAGCTCCATATCCCTGCGTATACCCAGCACCACACCACCGCTGACAATGAAACCTGCACTGGCTGCTACACATCAAACTAACACACAGGTGGAGGGTTATGAGGCTTCTACAGGGCCACCATGTGACAGAAATATAGACACAACACCCACCGCTGCATGCCTGGTCCTGGACCTGCTGGTGTGAAGAATGTGAAGCATGCTTTCACCCTCTGCTGTGAAGAGAAAAGTTAAGACGCACTGTTGTCACTGGAAAGGACAGAATGACGGGGGCGACCGCACATGTTTGCCACATGGCCCACGCTGGGGGAATTGTTTATGTCCTGTTGCAAGTGAGAGGAAGATGCAAGTTTGAGATGTTCGAGGAGGCGTTCTCCACACTGAGTTCCCTTTAACATACAGTTTTACATATTTATTCAACCTTAAGCAGCTTTAAGGTTGTCAAAATAATCTTAATATTCCACACTGTCAGTATCATATATGTTCTGTACCAGGTTCTTCAAGCTCTTCACTAAAGATTTATGCTATTTTTTCTGAGTGAAATCCCCAATGTAGCCTGATATATTTGTTCTTGAACTGAAAATTTTAAGTTTAAGTTTGTTTGGTTTGAATTAGAGCTGCAACGATGAATTAAATAGTCGATTAAAATAAATGAACTATTATTGTAATCGAGTCATCGTGTGAGAATTGCATTTTTCTTACAGTTGGATTTTGAATGGCTGGTTGGACAAAACAAGGAATCTGAAGACTTCCTGATGTTTTATAGACCAAACAATCCATTTATTGAGAAAATAATTGGCAGAATGATTTATTATAAAAATAATCGTTATTGACATCCCTAGTTTGAATGAGGTTATATAAGTTTGTAAAGACGGACCCACCAGTTGGTCGCTGCTTGTTAAGGAGTCAGAAATATTTCACATATATTAACACATTTCGAGTCTTCAGTGAGCTTGTTTTGTCTTTTTGTTAAAGATATTTATTAATGATTTAATGCAAGTTCTCATATTAGAGAAGCCGGAACGTAAAAAGTTTAGTTTAATATCGTTACTTGATAAATTACTGAAATGGTCATCTGATTATAAACATTTCTTGTTTTTCATATTTAAAAAATTATGTGAAGTTGTGAGAACTTATATTGTAGAGGGAATGCTGAATAGGTTATTTTTGTTTTGGGGTTTTTGAGTTGCCTTGTTTTGCTTTCTCTTAATGGTTTTAATGTGACAATATAATTCAGTTTTATTGATTTATTTTGGATGTGTGTTGTCGGACTATTCAGGAACTTTGTGGAAATGCGTATTTGTGTAGAGCACATATTTGTGAAAGCAGAGGCTGTCATGTTTCTTGTTCTTTGCTTATTTAATTTTGTTTTTAGCTTTTTTTTTTTTAGCTTAAGCTATTGGGATCAAAACAACAATAACTTTTCTCCCTCTCTTTTAATCCTCAGGAGTCTACCGCACTGACACACAGGATCTGTCTCCTCCTGAGGGAAGGTTGGACGTAGTTGGAGGGAACAACGAGCCCAGGGAGAGAGAGAGGTTGGCATCCAGGACCAGGTCTGGGGCCCCTGGCTGGGCTGCAGATAAGAGGGGCCACTACAGAGACCAGCACCAACCAGAGGAGTCAGATCCAGACCTGTTGATGGAGGAGGGACACGACAACTCTACGCAGATTGTGGTAGAGTTATTTACAGCAAAGAGAGGATGAACAGATGAAGGAACGACAGACATTGCTAGGATGTTAACTTTTAAATAGGGTAGTAGTTTGGGACATTTAGGTAACAAATGTAACAAACACAGAAAGAAAGAAGGTGTTTAATTACATTTCATAGTGAGAGTCTTGAAGCTTTCTGCTATAATATTCCCAATATAATATAGTTGAACTTTCAGAATGACCAGACGTTTATAGGAACATTTATTTCACGTTTTGATGTTTTAGAAAAAGAGTTGGAGCTTTTTAGGGGTAAAAAATCTCTCATCTAACGTGATGGTACAGGCAAACAGATTAAAACTGGGATGATGGTTGTAATTAAATAATAAAAGAGTGTGAATGTTACGAATTAACAGCAAAAACTGAGTCAGAAGTTTTAATATTATGGAAAATAGCAACAAAACTGAGTTTGGTTTTGAGTTTACTTGATGAGCATTGCCTGTTTTACTTTTAATAATATAAAAATATCTCCATCTAATTTTCCACAAACAAAACTGTCCTAAACTTAAACTTGAAAGCCTTACTGGCACGAATGTACACTTTTTATTGTTCCCATAATTCCACTTCACATTTTCTGTCCATAATATCGATTAAATGTATGTTGTTGTTTTTTTAAAGCATTTCAATCCCTACATTTATCGACAGGACATTGATCACGCCTACTATACATCTAAAATCTACGGCCCTGGAGACACAGCCAGTAAAGACCTGTGGGTGAACGTTGGTGAGATGGAAGAGGATGAGTGGAAGGTCAGTGGCTTCCTGTCCAGCACCCACAGACAAGCTGAGGTATGCAATGTGTGAATGAATGGAACAATCAGTGTTTTATGCAAATTCAATGACTCATGTAAGAAGAATACATTTTTCATCTATGTATTGTAAAAAAAACTTTCCAAATTATTCGGATTAGAACAGAAACTTCCAGTTCCAGTAATGCTGCTTATAAGCTATTTTACATAATGTGTCATCAGTTTATATGACAGACCATCTTTAACATACAGTTGATATTGCACTTCTTTGCCTTTCTTTGTTTTCAGAGAGTGAATCTTTCCTTTGACTTCCCTTTCTACGGTCATATCCTGAAAGAAATCACCGTGGCAACTGGAGGTCTTAGACGTCCTTACCTGCACACACAATGTTTTCTCTCTAGTTGTGAGCTCATTCATGAAGCTTAACATTGAAATCAGTTAGAGATGTCTTAATTTGAGCTACAGGTATATACTGTATAGAGCTATATAAGTGCATTTTTATTAGTTTTGTTTACTTTTCTCACAGCCACACATTTCATACTTATATTACAATAGTGTGTGTGCTTTTAAGATACTCTGCATGAGCAAAATTCTTAAGTTCAAACAGCATACATTTAATAACTAGATTAACCTGCAAATATACCAAAGAAAAATATGTAAAATTACAGAGTGAACTAGTTTGTTTCCACAGTTGAAATCAATATTGTATACATCTTCTTCAATTGCATGCAAATGACTGATGGCAACCTCTGCATGTTTCCTCTCAAAGGTTTCATTTACACTGGAGATATAATCCACCGGATGCTCACAGCCACTCAGTACATCGCCCCCCTGATGGCAAATTTTGACCCAAGTCTGTCGAATAACTCTACTGTGTTTTACTTTGATAACGGTGAGAGAAACAACTAGAAACCTTTTATTGTTTGTGCGTCTGCTGTAGAATATTTATACTAAATGTGTGTGTGTGTGTTTATGTATGTCTACCACAGGCACAGCACTGGTGGTTCAGTGGAACAGGATTCACCTGCAGGACAACATCAGTCTGGGAACTTTCACTTTCCAGGCTGTTCTGCACAGTGACGGACGCATCGTATTTGTATACAAAGAGGTGACATTTCTTCTCTTCTTCGTGTTCTGTTAATGTGACATTTGTTTAATTATACAGTTTGTTTTAAATAGATTCCTGTAGACATCAACGACATCAGCACTGAGAATCACCCTGTCAAAGTTGGTCTGTCGGATGCTTTTGTGGTGATTCACGAAATCGAGCAGATCCCGAGTGAGTGACACATTTGGTCTATAAAATATATATTAAAAACTTCCTGAATCACTAATTTAACATATTAATCGAAGCACTGGAGCTCACTAATAATTAAAAACATTGCATCCTTTCTGACATGCTCCAGATGTTCGGAGGAGAACCATTTATGAGTATCACAAAGTCGACATGCTCAAGTCCAAAATCTCCAATTCTACAGCTGTGGAGATGTTACCTCTCCCTAGTAAGTTACTCATATTTAAAGTATATTAAAGATCATCTAATGCTAATATAAACGCACAGTTTACACACAAATTCTCATCCACATTCTGTATATTTGGATCAACCTAATCTAAACATTTATTATATATTTTATACTTTTGTTATCCTGTGAAATTGTAAAAAAATATATGTTGTGACGATAATACAGTAGCAGCTGCAGATGGCTGGTAAAAATGTATTCATGTTTAATTTACAAAGGTCAAAGCTGCCTCTTCCTCCTCACTATTCACTGTTTTCTTTATTCTCAGCATGTCTCCAGTTCTCCAGCTGTGGACCATGTGTCACTGCTCAGATTGGCTTTAACTGTAGCTGGTGCAGTCGGCTACAAAGGTAAACTGGAAAGCCCTCGGAGAGCACATAATGTACCACTGACTGCACATTTTATCACATTTATTTTAAATAATAGAACATTTTAGGAACGTTTAAATTGTATCTGAACCCAGGTCTGACAGTCTTAGTCGATTTGCAGACTTTATATGAAAAATAAATGTATAAATGTATCAACTTGCTGTTGTTCCTTCTATAAGTAAGTCTTTATTCCAGAAATACTGTGTATGTGTTGATGTCTGCTCATATGATTTAAATTTGATTGCTATTTGTTTTCAACAATTATAGTATTTTATTTAGGTATGGAATATAAAATAACATTAATGCATTTTTCAGTAAATGGTTTGCACATTAAAAAATAGATTCAGTCTTTTGAGTCTGTTTAAAAATAATACTCAAATCCCCATATTAGTATTGAAAGAGTTTAAAGTTATTGGTTGCTGTAAGTGGTCCTCCTGTCCATACTGAACACATAGAGACTGAGAAGTTATTTCCATGTAGGTTATGGGGGAACAAAATCTACAGAAAGCTGACAGTCAGTGGTCTACTTGGGTCAAATTCAGTTGATATCTTATGTTACGGCCAGCTTAGAAACCTCGTGTTAGCTTCACTGAATGCATTTTTGCACAGATTGATGACTATGTATAATTGTACAGGAGAAACTATCACAGCGAACAATAATCTTTAGTGTGTGCCATGTGACTTGGAAAAAAAATATCAACCTATCCTTTAAGACTAAATGAATTTACAACGGCTTTGTTCTTTTCCATTTGCTTTACTACATGCTGCCCTGTTGTAGGGGAGAATTAAAGGACCAGTGTGTAGGATTTAGTTGCATCTAGTGCTGAAGTTGCACATTGCAACCATTTTGTTTTTCCATTCTGGGCTGCTGTAGAATTATGGCGGTTCAACACGGCTCATTCTAAGGTAACAAAAACATACCTATGAGTATTATATTCCATTGCTGCTAATAGATCCTCCTAAATGTTACACACTGGACTTTTAAATGTAAGTGAGTATATTATACATGAACCCCTACCCACACCTTGATTCTGATCACTATATCATATTTAAACAATGCCTGATAAATTAAAACAAATCATCAGCTGTTAGCTAAGAAATAACAATATTAGGTTGTGAACAAAAATCCAACACTTGATTTAGACTTGTCTACAGTATTTAGTATGTTTGTGAGGGTAAACCTGTAATTACAGCTCCACTATACTCTCCATACATGAATAACATTTACTTTTTTTCTCAGGTGCTCCAGTGGCTTCGATCGTAACCGGCAGGACTGGGTTGACCTCGGCTGCCCGGAGGAGGTTGTCGTTATTTTAAGTATTATTTAAGTAAACTACAGAAAGTTTAACTGAGTTAGAACTTCCATCTGTCTGTACAAGAGTTGACTGATGTTTGTTTTTGTCCAGAGAAGAGATCCCTGGTGTCTCCGAAAGACGGACGTCACAAATGCCACATCTCGCCTCACACACACAACCACTCCTGTTACGACCACAGTGCAGCAGAAGACCTCCAGCATGACCTCCACCTCCCTCAGCAAGACGTCCACTGTCACCAAACCCTCAATACACAGCAGCACGAGCAGAAGAACATCCACTCCACAGCCTCCTACCAGCAAACCTGCAGAAGGTAAGCTGACAAATGCTTTCAAATCATCTGTAGTAAACCAAACATGCATTAATTTAAAACTGCAGTATTTAGAGTTATGGTCCTCCTTTTTATAATTTTAATTTTAGTCTTTAACATTTTATCTCATTTAGATTATAGCTCAAGGCGGGGCAGGTCTCATTACCATCCTACGAATTAATACTTGTTGCATGGTATCCACACCCAGTGTGTTGTGTAAAGCCTGACAGTGAGAGGGTCAAGTGGTCAGCTATTTCCCAGCCCTCTGTTAGCTCATAGCTGAGTGTATACAGCGCCATGTTAAATACTGCATAGTGTCCTCAGCTGCTGAAGGATGACTAAATGTATGTGTATCACTCTAGTTGGGTCAGAATATACGGCTGTTATCTTAGGCTGTGGTGGCTATTGTTTGTGAGCTGAAATGTCCTACTCAAACAAAATCACTTATTTTACCGATGTGTTATTTAGCTAGACGAAAAGGTATTTAAAAAAAGTCCCAAAGTTAATGACAAAATGTCTTTTTGTTCCAATTTGTGATGCCTGTGGGGAACTAAAAAGATTTAATGATGTCAAGTACACTCAAGTATTTTATTAAAAACTTACAAAAGCTAAATTAAAAGGATACACTTTAAAAACTACCAAACTAACGACTCAGAAAACTACCCCTACAGTACAATTGGACCTTATCAATCAGTTATTTTTAAAGTTTAGATTTGTATTTAAGATCTACACTTTGAAGACCTGAACACATGCTATATTCACAGAGCCTTCACTCTCAGCTAAACAGCCTCAACCTGCATCAGTAGAGTGCGAACAGAACAATTACCATGAGTCCGGAAGAAGAAAACACTAAATTTGTCAAAAAAGTAGCTTATTGAGTATGTATGATTATAAAAACAATTAAAATACATAATGCAGCCAGAGAATTGTATAAAAAGGTCCGGAAAACTTGTCTCTAATGCAATATGCACAGTAAATGATCTCGTTTTACAGAGATGCCCTATAGTTTGAGTTCACTATATGTGTTAATGGTATAGTTTATCATTTGGTCTGTACTATTATTATTATTATTATTATTATTAAGCATTGAATAAAATCTGAAATAGCCATAAAATGTGTCAGAGGTTGTCCGTTTATTCCTTAGAAGAAAGGGGTCCCTTAAGTTTTTAACCACTGCCTTACATTAAAGTCATACAACTACTAATAATGTTTGTCATTGTTTTTTGTCTAGATGACACGAAGATGTCTTTGCACATCAACGAACCACGTAAGTTAATTGTTTTTTGGTCAATTCACATATTTACCTGAAACTTTAAATTGTTAAAGCTATTATATTCAAGATTTGTATGCGATTACAGCATTATTTTAATAATTCTGATGGCACATGTCAAACAAGTGAAGCTATCTGCATGTGTGTGCTATTCTTATTGCTCCTCGAGTGTCCCCCCTGTGCGTCTGTGGAGTTGGTCTGTAATATCACTGAGAGTCTCATCATCACGTCTGTACAGCAGAAAATAAGGAGCCCCCAGGGGAGAGTAATGAGCAGCTGCAGATTGGTCTAATGGCAGGCATCGTCATGGTGACGGTGATCATGGCAGCAGCTGTCCTCCTGTCTGTCTACATGTACAACCACCCGACCTCCAGCGCCAGCCTCTTCTTCATGGAGGTTGGTGACACCCAGCTGCTGTGTACCTCTGTACTAACCCAAAGAAAATCCCCTGAAAGAGCACCATGCACTTTTAATTCTTCCTGGTTTCTGTTCATCTCCTCATACTATTGGTCAAAATACATTCACTTGAAAATGAATGGCAAGCAGTCGGGCCTAAAGGTAAGAAGTTGGTCCTTCCAACAATGTAATCTAAAGCAGTGGTTCCTAACCTTTTTCCTCAAAGGACCTATTTTCTATCATTTAGTACCGACGCCCCCTGACTAAGTGACATATATGATGGATATTTAATATATTCAAAACTGTACAATGAACCCGGGTTGAGAAGGTTGTGTAAAATTATTGATTTGGATGAATTTTGAACAGTCATACATACTTAATAGGCTTCTTAAGTGTTTTCTTGTCCCTGAAGGTCGGCCATTGTTTCTTTTAGAAAATGTACTTTACTTTTCCTCCCAGATATCTCCCAAATGCTGAGATACAGGTCTACTGTGTTCTTATACCCCTTAAAATCAAGAAGGCCTCTTAAACCACAGGTTGGGAACCACTGATCTAGAGCAAGATATCTTGACAACTACTGGGAGATCACCTTGTAATTTGTATACATGGGTTTTGTTTTTTTTAATCTTCCAACATTTTAAACTCTGATTTAGATGGAAATATTTGGCCTTTTTGAAAGCAGGGAACAGCGGTGTCTTAATTTTGTTTTCTAATTATTATTTCTGTTGTTATTTTCCCCCACCTCAGCGGCGGCCGACCCGCTGGCCAATCATGAAGTTCAGGCGGGGCTCAGGTCGCCCCTCTTACGCCGAGGTGGAGGCTCCCGGTCAGGACAAAGACGGCACGGTGGTCATCGACCCCAAACAGTCTTTTGTCATGTCAGACAGAAGAGAGAGTGAACAGAAAGAAGGATTCATAGTTCCTGATCAGAGGGAGCGCTTCCTAGTCTCAGAAAGCTCCTGACCAAAACTACATATCCCAGAAGGCTTTGGGACAGAGCTGGTTCTCTATGCAAGTAAGCATTCCTTCCTTGAAATGCTGAGACTTTTTGTTTCCATTCGGCTGTTGCTTGAGTTCATTTTAAGAATTTGAGCATTCAGAGAGGAAAACATCAAACCTCTGTGAGGAAATTGTAACTACAGAATATTTTATAACAGTTTGGCTTCATGTTTGCATTAGCTCGGTGAGCCATTGGGCTGACTGCATGACAGAAAAAAGATAAAAACGTGTGTTTACTGCAGCATCACAAAGAGTGAGGTGTGACGGCTGCTGAATGTTTGTTTTGAGACCATTTCTCTCAAAGACGGCTGTTATTTTCCAGAGCCGTTATGTGTCGTTCCCACACCTTCTTCACAAGGAGGAATGTCATATTCGGGTGTCATTTCCTCATCTCAAAAATACAGACTAAATTCCTCACCATTACACCCACCTTCATCTGAGGGGCAAACAGGGTGCCCAGTGTTTTCACTGTTGTTTATCTCAATATTTTCTCAGTGAAGTAAAATGTCGGCAAACTTTGATAATTTTTCCTTTATTTTCTGAACTTAATGAAGGCATAAAACATATGTATACTACAACATTACAAACATCCACAGAAAAATACAGATCTATATTTATTTTAGACATGGTGTAGTCTTGCAACATTTTCTACAAATTGTTCCCATGTATGTGTAATCTGTATATTTGATATAACGGTAAAACGGTGTAAACTGCATTATTATTTTTTTTTTTATTCAGTAGCTGTACTGCTGACATTTTTACTGTCTTTTCAGTCATACTATTTGTTGAGCTTTATTCGTCAGCAAGTAAAATAGATGACTAGTGATGTCAAAATTAAAATATAAGGATTGTTTTGTATACATGCTGTATAATTTAACCAGTTTTCTCACATCTAAAAAAACTCTCTAAACTCAAATGTTAGTCATTTTGTTGTTCTTACATTTAGTGAGCTGAGGGATTGATCAACGGTGATACATTTTCAAAACTGTTTGGTCATCAGTCTAATAAAGTAGTTTAATCTACATTTTGATACGATGACACGAGATTCAACAGTCAGTGACATACAGCACAACTCCACCAAATACATACAGTACTAGTGTGCCGAATTATTTGAGGCATGTTTAGTTAAAAATGACATTAAGGCAACTGGTGTCGAATGGGTCACTTGAGACTGGCCTGTAGGCTGCAGAGTGACGGTGAAGGCACTTGGAGGTCCTGTGAAGGTCCGAGGTCTTTGATCTACGTTTCGTTTTCTTCTGAGAAAGAAACAAGTAGGGATAAAATATTATTTATAATCCAATTACAAAGTGATCTGAGGTACTTTTAGTCTTTTTAGTCAAACAGTACTTCTCATTAAAAGGACCAGTGTGTAGGATTTAGAGGCGAAATTGCAGATTGCAACTAACTGAACACCACTGGCATCTGTATTTGATGACATGACAATGACAACGGGCTGCGTCGGTGGGAGAAACTACGGCTCTATCTACAGCCAGTGTTTGATATTATTTAATTTGTGCCAATAGATCCTCCTAAAAGTTACACACTGGATCCTTAAATAGGTGGATATTTCATAAATGGCAGGAAATAGCTAAATCAGTGCATTTTTGAATTATTTTGTGACAGTACTTTCACTTAATTCTTCACAAATACTTACTATTTGGTTTGGAGCGCCAAAGATTAAATTAAAACTGATGAAATAATGTGTATACTACATAATAAATCCAAGCAGGTTAGGAGTATGTAGTAAGTCAGGGATCCTTTTCCAAGTCAGACCCCAGAATAAACGATCACAATATGACCTTTTTTACCATATCATGCAGCTCAGTAACTTTCTAAAGTCACATTTTGATAACAAACTTAACCAAGAATGTTTCTTACCTTTCACTGGTGGTGCAGGTAATCGCCTTCTCAGCTGTCTAGATGAGTCGAGGGTGACATGCTGCAGAAACATGTGTGTGAAACATAAGGGTTTTTGTTTTTGTTATACAAGAATAATGTTGTGGTAGTTATACTCCTATGTTAAGATGTATATTAAGAGGTACAGCACCATAACTGGAATGGTCTTGGTCTTAGTGGTGCGTGACTGAGGGTCCACATCGAGGCCTGCGCTCTTCAAAGCAGCAATTCTGGCCGAGATGTCACAAATCTAGAGCAGAAACAACACAAATACAGTACGTTTGATTCAGCCTGGTGTTACAGTTTACTTCTTAATCTTTCCATAAGGTAAATCTATGTTTTTAAACACCAGAACTCATCACACAGCTAAGTATTCATATCTAATAAAAAGCAGCAAAACACTTTATAAATATAAAATGTGCAGCATCGACTCACCTGTAGCTCAGACTGTTGAACTTTGGCAGCTGCTGATGCTACCTGCTCCTCCAGGAAGGACAGCTCCATATCAGAAGTGCCACTGCAGATGCCCCTGGCACACTCCTCGAGGTCATTCAGGTCCGCCTCCAGACTGTACACGGAACCAGCTGCTACGTACACCTGCAGTATATCCAGTTCAACACAAGATCAACTTCAATTACTGCAATTATGTAAACTCCTCTTGTTTTACCCTTCAAGTTTTCAGAACCAGTTCTGATATGTGAATAAACAACCTGCTTCATACACTTCTCTAACCTTCAGGTTACTACTGGAATCACCACAAATAACTTACACACAGTAAAGAAGCAGCTTAAACGGATTTTTGACCCAGAGGAAGGAGCCGCAATTTGATCCCCAAAATCTAAATGTGAACCTGGAAACGTGCATTATGTTCCCTTTAAGACGCAGTTAATCAATTACTGTATTATAAAATGAAACCCTATGCAAGTGCAGTTCATGGTAGAGTACAAAAGCAAAGTATTTCTACAAACCCTTCTATATTTGGCAGTGACGTACACTGAGAATGGACTTTACAGTGAAATATGTCTTAATACATGTCTGGAGGGGATCTTTAACTGCACTCATTGTGTCAATCTATCATCTTTGCTCCTTACAGACAGTAATGCAGACGTAAGCATAAGATTGAGCTGGTCTTCAGTATATTATTACTACACATAAGTGTCATCAGCTGAAATCTGGCCAGCAATTATACAGTTTTATCAAACAGTTCAATGTGCAGTAAATAAAATGGAAACTGAAATAAAACTGAAACTGAAATAAAACTGAACTTACGTTCTCCTCCAGTCTGGAGAACTGTTGATCCAGTTTCTTGGGGTCAGTGTGGGGGGGCAGTGAGGTGGTGCAGAGTCGGGGGTCGTCTCCTCCCTCCACTCCCTGCAGCAGGTCCTCGGTGGCGTTCAGCACCTTCAGGACCTCAGTGGTGATGCTGCGCAGAGACACCGCCGAGTACCTCTGCAACACACAGACAGGAAGGCTGAGTGATGTCTTTGTTATACCTGATGTTTTTCAGTATAATAAAGTCTAATTAGACCTTTTTTTATGTAATTACTAGCCTTAAACTTTGTACACTGAAGGGTTTTTGGGACACTAATGCTCTTCAGTCAAACTCAGGTTATTAAATTAAAGGGAAAACTCAAATACTTTACTGCTTTAAATTAAACTCAAGCAGACACATTATTAAAAAGTTAAAAACAAAAAGGAAGGAACAAACAGTTATATTCACACTTTTTCGTAGAGTAACAGTGATTGGCTAATACGTGATAAATTAATAGGTGGAAAATACATGAACATATTGAAATTAGTTGCATGCATGAAAAACATGAAAGTAATGAGGGGAAAAAAGGAAAAGAAAAAGTGAGCAATCATCACTATGCTGCCTTCCTAAAGCAAGACCAGTTCTCACCTTCTCCAGCAGACTTGATATAAACTGTACTGTTTTGTAAAGCTCCATGTCACTACCCTACAGCGCACAGAGGAGAAGAAAACACACAGGCAAATCGACATCAAGCAGATTGTCAGTTGTTAAGTAGTTAGTTACATTGCAAAGAAAAAGTTAATAAGCAGAGTTACTCAGATCAAAAGTGAGCCTATGGTACTTCTGCTGTGGCCACATGTGGCAGCTACAGGATGATGGGTAATTTTCAAATGAAGTCTAATGAAGTCTAATTTCAACACGACACCCACTGACCAGGTTTCTCCTGATAAAAGACTGAGATGTGGTTGTAAGTGACTGACCGTTATGTAATGTTGCACGTATGCATCACTGTCCAGAGCGAGATTAAAAAACAAGTTAGAAGCTACAATGCTTACGATTTGAATCTCCTCTGCTGACAGTAAACCTTCCTGAAGGGACGAGGTGCTGCTCTGCTCCACCTCGATTGCATTTTCTTCTTTGGGTTCCTCAAGTCTTTCATCCGTTTCTTTACTTTCTGCCATCATTTGCCACTCAGTTGAGACTTCTTCTCTGTCCTCCTCTTCATCGTCATCCACTACTATTTGTTTATATGTCAGTTTGGCATCAAATGTCTCTTCAATTGCCATAACTAGAGAATTTTCTTTTGCTAAATTTCTATTTTCTTGTGCACCTGTATCCTTTTCCTGCTGCCCATTTTCATTTCCGCCTGTAGCGTCTCCGCTCTCCTTTTTCCTGGAGATATCTCCTCCAATTTGCTCAGTTACATATTCTCCCGGTCCTTCCGTCACAGCCAACTCTGGCATCACGTTGTCGCCTTGACTTTGAGACTCTTCTGCGTTTCCTGTCTCCCCTGATGTGTCTGTACTTTGCGCAACATTGTTGTCCGCGAATCCGCTTTCTCCCCTTATTGTTACATTTGTCTCTTCTTCCTCTGGCTCTCTATCGGTTATCTCATTCTCTGCGGCTTCATCCTTTAATGTCTCTCCCTGCATGTCCTCCAAAGTCATCAACAACATGCTGCTGATTATTCTGTCAAATTCTTCATCTTCCTCATCACTTTCTGCTGCTGTGTCCCATTCCTCCTGACTCTCACTGATCTTTTCCTCTTCCTGTCTCGTTTCTCCCTCCTGTTTGTCTGGCCAGTTCGCCTCTGGCGGATTCTCTTGTTGGACTTTTGTCTCATCTAAGGTTATTATCTCCTCCGTTCTCTTTGCTTCCATCTCTTCTTTTTCTGTCTCTTTTGCTTTTTCAGCCTCTTTCAAATCTACTTTTTCTTCACATACATCCCCCTTCGCCATCCTTTCATCCTGAGTCTCCTCTGTTACTCTCTCCTCCGTGCAATCTTTCTTTCCCTCCGTCTTGCCTTGTTGGACATTTTTAGTCAGAATATCCCAAACACTCTCTCTTGTTTCATTTTTATCGCTGCTCTCCTTTCTTTCCTCATTTTCATCCCCTAAATCAAACATTTTCTCATCCAAATGTCCAAACGATTCTCTCCTCTCCTTATTCTTTCCCACTGCCTCCTCCCACATACAGCTCCCTTCACCTACTACCTTATTCTCTCCAACTCTATCCAGCTCATCCTCAGCGGAAGAAAACGGAGAAGGGCTGACTAGACTGGACAAATCGCGCAGTTGAGCAGCTTGGACGGCTTTTTCTGCCTGCAGTTTCCACAGTGTCTCTCTGTCTGTTGGCTCCTCCCCCTCTTCACCTCGACCTGCTCTGTCTAACTCATCCTCCGTGGAGGAGAATTGGGTGGCGTTGACTTGGCTAGCTAATCTGCACACTTTCACCGCCAGCTCCTCATACTTCCCATCCTCCTCCTCCTCCTCTCCTGTGTGATTCTCCTCATCCATGACGCCAACTCTGTTCAGCTCATCCTCTGTAGAGGAGAACTGGTTCGCTCTCACTTCTCTTTCCAGCTGACAGAGTTTAGAAGCAAGTCTGTCCGTCGTTTCCTCCTCCTCCTCTTCATCTTCACCTTTACCTGCCTCCCATTCTTCCTCACTCTGACCCACTTTGTCTAACTCATCATCGGTGGAGGAGAAGTATGTGAGTCTGGACTGTGCGACAAGCATGTATAATCTGTCTTTCATCTCTTCTTCATCATCTTCTTCTTTCTCCTCCTCCGTTCTTCCTTCATCCAAGTCGATCTCCATCCTCCACAGCCTCTCATCGTCTTCATGTCTGTCCTCGCTACTGTGTCTCTTTTCCTCCGTCTGTCCATCACTACCAGCATCCCTCGCTCCATCAACTTCTTCTTCTCCAGTGGAGCAGTCAGTAACTCGGCCTGCTACTTGTAGTTTTAACGTGAGCTCCCGGTCCGTCTGATTGGCTCTGTGTCCGGTGACATCACTGTCAAGGTGATAAGGTTCAAGGGTCGGGGTTTCAGAGGTCAAAGTGTCAGGGGTCACAGCATCAGAGGGGTTGTCTTTTTTACTGTAATCCTGAATGTAAGAAATAATAGAAAATAAAAATATATGTTCATAATCACTGTAGATTCAGCATTTGGGCAGCTTATAATGGAAATGTATCCGAGTATTTGGTCCACTCCATTAATACCAAACGAGGGAAGGCAAGAGTGCAGGAATTTCTATAATTAGTTCAAAAGGAATTTTTGGTGGCATCTAATGATTCTTTTCATATTTGATTATTCAGTTGATTACATCTTTATCCTTTGGTCAAAAAATGTCAAAAAACAAAATAAAAAAACAACAAAATAAACTCAGATGCCTCATTTGGCCTAATCAACTCTAAAGCCTCAAAATGTTGAATTTAAAATCATTAAAAAACACAGAAAAGCAGCACACTGACACATTTGAGAAGATCAAACCAGAGAATATCTGCTATTTTTGCTTGATTAAACAACTGCAACGATCATTCATATATCAAAATAGTTAATAATTGTAAATAGTTTCAGCTCTAAAGGAATTAATTTCATATTTTGATACACTTTCCTGCAAGTGCAGTTCTGCATTCACATATTTATATTACATTTCTATGTCCTACACAAATTATTTAACAACTCTACTGATTTTATTATGTACACTACAAAGATTTACAAGAAATGTAACATGTCATTGTTCCAGAATTGGCAGTTTCACATGGTTATATAAAACCTTCTTGGCTATATCATTATTTTGTTAGTTTCTGCTGTGAATAATTAAGATAATAATTCATTCTAATTATAGCTCATCAGTTTGTAGTTTAGTGTGATTTATTTCTTACCATCACAGAAGAAGACTCTTTTTTACTCTTCCTTTTCTTCCGTGATCTCTTGACTTTTTCCACTTCCGGCTCTGCATCCACCTTGTTCTCCTCCTCTTCCTCTCCTGCTCCATCTACGTTAAAGTTCATGTCAATGATGCTTGTCCTTGGGGCTGATGAAGGTCGCCGGATCTCCATGGGCACCTTCTTCCTAAAGAGGGCCAGCAGAGGTTTATTAGGCTTCCAGTTCCCCTCATAGTCTGCAAACAGATAGTCTTCGCTGCCTCGGCGGTCCATCGGCGGGGACGGGGTCGTGTCGTCAGAGTCCTGCGGGTTGAAGTTAGAATCATTCATCTTCTTGTGGAACTGCTGGAGGGCAGCACTCCAGGAGGTGTCGGCCTCAGGTCTGGTTTCGTTGTCAGAGCCCATGCCTTCGTAGGCAGACACCACTTCGGACTCCTTCTCCAAGGCACTGAAGACCAGGCTCTTCCTTTTGGTCAACAGGCTGGGACGCGACAGCTGGGCGCTCTGTAGGGCAATCCAGTTCCCGTCGGGGCTCTTCAGCACTGAGGACACACCTCCGTACGCAAGCACGCACACACAGACACGCACACACACACACAAAC